CAGGTAGGGCCTTAATCAATCCTATTATACATTTATGATAGGGATTTAATTACAGGAGAGAGTGTACTACTCGGCCAAGGTGAAGGTCATCGAGTGTCGGCCAGTGGGAGGTCAGGTGTGATGAATGGGAAGGCTGGGGCCCCTTAATGAAGTTGTTATGTTGGTGTGTGTGTGGGGGGGGGGGGGGCTCTATGGGATGGTGGGCTGAGGACATGAGCCTCACTGAAAGGTAAAAAAAAATAACAGGAGGGAAAGAAGAAAATACTCGAAAGTCATTGACAGGTGGACTTAAAACTGTACCAAAGTACCACAACAAGACATCTCAACACATTCTTGCTCTAGAGAATTTACATTACTGTACTTCATCCAAACCTTTTATCCAAAATGATAAAGCAATAAAACATCCGATTTAATTATTAAGTAGTTCTCCCTGTGTTACTATGGTGTAAAATCACCATACAAGTTAAGATTAAAGCTCCATATGAAATAGGCCATACGAACTATACTAAACAAATTTCTGGTTGAACTACCCTTGCCATATTACATATCAAACACATTAATTATAACAAAACCAAATTTTGAACCAAAACACTGAAAATGTGTTATTTACTGACTTGTTTATAACATGACCATGATACATTTTCAAGATAAAAAATTGTCAATTCCAATTATTACATATCAAGCCTTGACGAGTCAAACACATTAACTATAACAGAACCGAATTTTGAACCAAAATACAGAAAATATGTTATTTATCGGCTTGTTTATACCATGACTATTATACATTTTCAATTGTCAATTCCAATTATCATATTGACTCCCTCCAGCCCCCCCCCCCCCCCCCCCCCCCCCCTGTTATGGGTTAAATCGTAAAGTGCCAAGCAATATTTCAAAAGTGCTGACAAGCTGATAGTGAATCATTTAAAGAGATTTGCCCTGGGAGTCTTAAAGTTTAAAGTCAGTCACCAGTGAAGATTCAAGCGTCTTATTGTAAAGCAGTAACAGCGACTGTGTTGAATTAGTAGTAAGTTCAAAAAGTAGAACATTATCATTTTTTAAAAAACTGTTATCAGTTACCTCACACCAGATCTGATAATATGTGCTGTTTAGCTACATAGGCCAATATAGAAATAAAGTTATGTAGTCCAAAGACCAAATATATATATATATATATATATATATATATATATATATATATATATATATATATATATATATATATATATATATATATATATATATATATATATATATATATATATATAATGGAGCGAGGGATATATATTAAAAAAAAAAAAAAAAAAAAAACTTAACGTAATAGGCTTATGGGTAGACTTAATATGAAGATTGTAAAAAATTGTATTCTTAGAGAGGGTCTATATCTTAGTTTGAGAAATTGTTTTAAAAAATATCACAATAAGTCAAAAGTGGGCAAAGAAAAAAATCATGCCCTTTTCCTGCTCTTTTATGAAATATTAAATTATTTCAAATATAAATCTTTAAATGATATTATATTTTTTGTTATTAGGCTTATTCAGTGTTTTTTTTTATTATGTCAAGTGATTTTAACACATATTTCTATTGTTATCATTACCATATATTCTGAATTTTGAATACGCTGAAATGTTTACCCATTTAGAAGAAATTTAAATGGGCAATAATAATAAATGTGGTCTATAGTCTATAGCCAGCATACTTTAATAATGCTTACTTTTATAGCAATATATTTATAGATTTTCACCAAAGCCTAAAAATAAAAAATCTTAATTTAAAAAATTCAGTCTAAAATAAAATATGCTTTAACTAGCCTACTTATAATTTTTTTTATATAAATGTATAATTTAAATTAAGATTTAAGATTATTAATATAGGCCTATAGGCCTAGATAGATCAATTATAATGGTTATTACTACTACTATTACTAGAATCTATGTCTATTTACTATTATAATAGGCCTGATGATTTAGCAAGGTTCATGAAAACAAATAGGCTAAATTTAAAATTATATTAAGTTAAATTAGGCCTATTAAAATTTAGCCTAGAATCTATATGATATCTAGATCTAGACTATATATATTAATATAATAATTTATATCTAGAATCTTGAAGACTGGAACCTAAGCAACTAATTTTAATTTATTATTAATAATAATATTAGTATTTAATTACTATAATTAGGCCTAGCTAGGCCCACTGGCCACTAGGCCTAATCATTAATTTAATCACATTTCATTAATGATTAGTGGCAATTATTGAATTAAATCTAGTAATGATGGCTTATTTATCCTTATTTAATTTTATTTATAAACACAATAGGGCATAGGACATGTTACACGTTTTAAGTCAAACATAAGACCGACAAGAGATAAAATGAGTGAACTATTCTGAACTTTAAACTTTGCTTACCGAAAACATTTCGGGTGCCAGTCGCCTTTCAGTGCCTGCACAACGGGTTCCGACGTTATCACCTCTCCACATCCCTTACAAATTGAGTGTGAGTGAGGAATCATGTGAAATAATTTATAATCCCATTCGATTACAGAAAAAAAATCCTTGGCAAGTATTTCAAAAGTTGTCCAACTTTTAAAAAGTTTCTTCTTGTTTGACTTCACGAAACATCCTTCTTGGCCACCATTTTTCTCCCAGGTGAGAAAACACAACTAGAGTTTTCTAGAGTAGCTTCCCTTCCTTTCGCGACCACGCCCTCAATCCAGAAAAATAATGCTCTGTCATGGAATTTTCAATTAAAGAATAAACAAACTCATTTAGCAAAACAAATGAATCTTCCAAATCAAAACTTTTAAGTTTAATTTTAAAGAAGTTAGCAATTTTTTAGAGGTATAATTGTTTTAACGAAAACTAATTTGTTATTTGGCTTTTGTTTCATTTTACGATATTGATTTAACCGAGCTTTGTTGAGAAAGTGCAGTGGGGTATTGGTCAAATTTTTTTGGTAGCAATTTACACAAAGATAAAAACTAATTAAAGTAAAATGCTAAAATTAAATTTAAAAAATGACTCTTAGCCAAAGCTAAAGTGTCACATTTTCTAAAGATAAGAATCACGGCATCTATCCTAGGTCTACGCTAAATTCATTAATATAAAGTAGTTCACTCATACGAAGACGATAGTGAAAGCATTTCTTCATGGGATGTTTTTTTCTATCATTTCCCTATATTTCTCCAGACACCATTCATAAACTGCTTCAAATTTACTTCTTATAAAACCCGCTGTCTACATTTTTAAAGCTATTGAAGCTACAGATAATTTATGCACAATTTTTTTTATCGGTGATGTTTGCAGGTAAGCGTTCGTGAGCAGTGTTTCTTCCAGACTTTTTTCTCCGGGGGGGCACTTGAAATCTTCGGGGGGGCGGTAAACTTTCTTCGGGGGGGCGGACACTGTTAAAAGTATATATTTTCTATATAAATTATATAAATTTTATTTCGTTCGGGGGGGCGGTAAAAATTTTTCGGGGGGGCTTTGCCCCCCCGAAGAGATGCCTGGAAGAAACTCTGTTCGTGAGGCGACAGTTGGGCAATCGATTTTATCGTCACGGAAGTTTCTGAACTGTTTGAACTGACAGACAGCTGCTGAAAGATGGACAGTCTTGAGTTTAGCACGTTTCATAGGGATATATCTCATTTTCATGTAGAGGCGTAGCGACCCTTCGCGGCACCCGGGGACAAACTTTCGATTTGCACCCCCCTCAAACTTTCAGTTTGTTTTTCCAACCCATTTTGGCGCCCGGGGACATATGTCCGTCCCCCCCCCCCTCGCCACTGTTTTCATGCAAACGGCTTAGATTTTTCAATAGGAGGCACTTTAAATTTTCGGGGGGGGGGGGGGGCCGGACATTGTTAAAAGTATATACTTTCTATATAAATTCCATTTCGTTGGTGGGGGGGGGGTGACTTTCTTCGGGGGACGTGGAAGAAACTCTGTTCTTGGGGGGGGGGGGGGGTTTGGGTTCTGAGAGTTATAGAAAATATAGAAAAAATACGTACTTTAACCAGTTCCCGCCGTAGAAAATGTCTGAAAGAAACACTGAATATAGCCTACACATGGTCGTAGCTATAGGTCTAAAGCGCAATCTTACCGACACTGTTTATTTAATGACTCAATTTAACCATAACGCACGGGAAGGCCAGGCCTATTCTACACCTATCTAAATTCAAAAAAGCTCTTGCAACAGATTCTTTCACCACAATATGAATAATTGAAGGATTGATTTGTATCACATTTCTCATGCGCTATGACAAACAATTCAAGGGAAATAACAACATCCATGTAAGTTTGGCGAAGTTCTGGCCCTTTACTACACCACCCGATCACATTTAACTTTTTTCATCTATTTAGCAACACTATAATCCCACGCTCAAGTCACGATTCTCTGTCATTTTACTCTGTACGGTAAAAATAATGTATTCCCTCTATGGCCAAAATAATAATTCTCTGCATGGCCAAAATTATTCTTCTCTGTATGTCCAAGCATGGCTAAGTCAACATAGTACCGCCATACAAGATTTTTAGGATGTCTAATACATGATTCTTTAAAATTTCTAAAACCTATGTAGTGCAACAAAAATAGGTTTTACAGTAGTTGTTTCCAGGGGCGTAGCGAGGGGGGTGCGGACCGCACCGGGTGACACCATTTAGGGGGGTGACACCAAGGCAAAAAATAGCAAAATATATAGAGAAAAATGATAATTCCACTTAATAGAGTGATTAATTAGAGTGTTAAATAGCCTTTTAAGAGGTGGGGGGGGGTGTGCAAATCGAAAGTTTGAGGGGGGGGGTGTAAATCGAAAATTGAAAGTTTGTCCCCGGGAAGGGTTGTTGCGCCTCTGGGGGTTGACACCATCAAGTGCCGCACCGGGTGACACCCGACCTCGCTACGCCACTGGTTGTTTCCTCTCTTACTGCACCACTCATTCATAAAATTTAACTAAAACCAATTTTATCAACAAGTAACAAAAATTGTTTTTACTTTTTTTTTATATAAAGCAACATTGTTAAACAATGAAAATACAAAATTAAACCTAATCAAACCATTTTAACATTTCCCTTTCATGCTGCATTACATTTATATCATTCTTTGATAATCTTGCAACTATATTGCCCTGGAACCTTTATATCTTCTTCTTTCCCACTTGCTACTGAAGTGCCTTTCATGCTATGCTGCCTTTCCACTCACATGCTGTTGAAAAAACTTTCACTCTTTATAATGCCTCTCACTCACTTCCCACTGAACTGCCCACTTACTCATTATTGAACTGCCCACTCACTCATTATTGAACTGCCCACTCACTTATTTCCTTATAAACTGCCCATTTACTCACTCAATACTGAACTGCCCACTCACTCAATTCTGAACTGCCCACTCACTTACTTCCTTATAAACTGCCCATTTACTCACTCAATACTGAACTGCCCACTCACTCAATTCTGAACTGCTCACTCACTTATTTCCTTATAAACTGCCCATTTACTCACTCAATACTGAACTGCCCACTCACTCATTATTGAACTGCCCACTCACTCAATACTGAACTGCCCACTCACTCAATTCTGAACTGCCCACTCACTTATTTCCTTATAAACTGCCCATTTACTCACTCAATACTGAACAGCCCACTCAATTCCTAATGTACTCCCCATTCACTCACTTCCCAATGAACTGCCCATTCATTCGCTACAAAACTGACCACTTCTTAATGAACTGCCATTCACTCACTAAATACTGAACTGCTCATTCACTTCACAATGAACCGCACATTCACTCATTGACTCAATACTGAACTGTCCATTCACTCACCTTCCACTTAACTGCCCATTGACTCTGCCCTATGCTGCCCTCTCACTCTCCCTAGCTATCTTTCTCAACAGATATCTCTTCCTGGCCTCTGCAATATCTTTCTGCGAGTTATGATGGGGGTAAACTTTATCCTTGGGATCAACAGGTTTCTCTTCCTGTTTCTTGTCTTCCACAGCAACTTTTACGTCATCTTTCCTGTCAGCCGCAACCTTCACACTGTCCTCCCTGAGTGGACCTTCACTGACCTCCTCATCTGAACCTTCCTCTCTTGGCTTGTCTCCTCCTCCAACCTTCCCATCCAGCCCAACAGGCTCATCTTTCCTACCCCCGGGAGGTGAGTTTCTCATCTTTCTGTCAGACGACCCTGACCTTTCTCTGTGACTTCCAGCCTTGTGTTTTTGATGAGGCTCATCTGGGGCAGATCTATCTTTAGACCGTGACCTTGACCTCTGCCTGTGCTTAGCCTCACTGTTGCGTGGGAGGGATCGTGACCGTGACCTTTCTGCTCGCCTACCAACTCTTGCAGGAGATCTTGCTCTGGGAGATCTTGATCTGGGTGATCTTGACCTAGAATGCCTGTTCCTGGAGCCTCTTGACCTATAGCTATCCCTGTCATCGTCTCTTCTTCTACCCCTGGCACCTGGGGAATACCCTCTCTGTGAAGAGGACTGTCTTCCATACGGAGGGGAGCTTCTTCTATGAGGAGAGGACTGTCGTTTATCATCGGAGGACCTCCTCCTGTGTGGAGAGGACTGTCTTTTGTTGTCGAAGGACCTCCGTCTATGTGGGGAGGACTGTCTTCTATCATCAGAGGACCTTCTCCTGTGTGGGGAGGACTGTCTTCTATAGGAAGACCCCTTTGATCTGTCTCTGTTGCTCTCAGGGGATGAGGAGTCACTCTTTCGTTTTCTGAACTTCCCTCCTGAGTTCGGGCGAATGGGCTTTGAGAAAGCAATTTTTTCTTTGCCTTGTTTCACCTCAGAATCTGAACCATCACTGTAAAAAAAAGCAAAAATTTTGTTGTACATTTAAAAGCCGTTTAGTTTCATTTCTGTGTTCATGAACTTAACTATTTTTTTAACTTTCTGTTGAACAATAAAAGGTGAAATATCAACAAAACAATTTGTCAATTATGTATGATCACAGGTCTCTTTTGTAAGCAGAAATTTGTGTTAATAGTTTTGATTACTGCTTAACATTATTGGCAGACATACAAATTGTTGACTAATGCAATCAAATTTTTTCCATTTTCAAATTATATTATTTTCATCAATGGTTCAATATTTGTTATAAAACTCAAAATTAATTTCTGTACCTATCAGATGAAGAACCAGCAGATGAAGAAGAGGATTCTTTGTGCTTCGGGGGAGAAGTTTCTTCCTTTTTCACATTGTTATCTGGTGCGTCCGGCTCCCTAAACAAACATCATTAAAAATATGACACATTATAATTGATTAATACATTAAACCATAAACTACACGATAAAAACTTTGAAAGTTAATTTTGTCTTCCTGTCAGTGCAGATTGTGTAAATATTCATGAAATCATAGATCACAAGGACTGTCCCATCTTCTAAATTTTCAACTAAAGTTAGGCATGTACTATTTCTAATGTTTTGCTACACTTATTTTAACTAACTTGTTTTAAAATTAACTAATAAAAACAGGTATATTAAGATTTTTACATCAAATTAATCTCAAGAAAATTAAATTCTCTCTAAGATCTAAAAAAAAAGTTTTAGAAAAGAAAAACAACACTAACTCCTCTTTGATCTCCATCTTCTCTCCATCCCCTGATGGTGTGATGTCATTTCCTGCTGTAGATCTGTACAAGTATCTATAGAAACCACTCATGTCTTTCTGCTTGGTAACATCAAGCATACCTGAACCATAGAGAGTATTTCTTGAGTAAATATTGAACAGGGCATAAGTTAACACATTTTTATAAATATAATAATGTTGTGTCAGTGTCATGTTCTTTTATACACTACATGTACTCAAACTTATTTTTTATAATAATTTACAAAGTAGGTCCATGGACTACAAAAAGAATGGCTGATTATATATATAAGCTTATATATATAAGCTCCTTTCTCATTTGTGCAAAACCCTGAGTACACACAGTTATTGTAATATAAATCTCTCTCAAAACAAGCAGATTTTGATCACAAAAACATTTTTTGAAAGACAAACAGATTTGTTTCTTTTATTTCATTATGGCTGTCAAATAGAGGATGTAAAACACTTATTATTTAAACAAGGGGAAGATAAATGATAATATTTAAAAAGTGAACAGGTAATTTCTGAACAAGTCAATACTCTTGACAGAAAGGGAAGAAAACAGAAAATAACATCATGTATAAACAAAGTAAGGGGGAAATGAAACAAATATTTTTTACATAAATACAGCATACATAAGATGTATTGAAATTAAGAAGTACATAAATTAAAGTTATGCGACTTTAAAAAAACACTTAATACTAAAGGTTCTCGTAACACAACATGCATACAAAACAAAAGAAAATACAGCAAAAATCTCTGTAAAAAAACCTCCCTTACTTTCTATGGCAGCCTGTCTTTTCTCCTCTTCTTCTGCTGCCTGCAGTTCTAGCAACTTTTGTTTGTATGCCGAGGTCACGAACTTCTCCTTGTCCGCAAACATCTCACCTTCTGCCTCACGTTCTTTCTGCACCTTCACACAATAAACACAGCATTCATCTACATGGTGGGTGCAACTGTTCCTTTTTTATGGAACTTCTATGAGACTTGGCAGGGCAATACTATGCCAGGAACATGGAGTAAACTAATATAAGCAAGCTAATCTAGTCTAAAAATGTGTGGCTCCGGTGTCTAGTTTAGTTAAGGTCAGACCTAGCGAAAAATACTAATACTCTCCAGACATTGTGTAGATTATTTACATAATTTTCATTTCTGAGGCCTCAATGATGGCAGATATCTTAACATCACAACGGTTGTAAAAAGCAGACTGATTTTGGTGGATTGGTACTTACGGCAAACACAAAAAGTTTACAGATCAACCACAGTAATACTTTTGAGAAGTAGAGATAATTATAATTTAAGAAGAAAACATTCTGCCTACCTGTCTTTCTTTCCTTCTCTCATCTTCCTTCTTCTTTGTTTCAGCAGCTTTAAGCAGGCCAGCAATATATTTTGGCTAAATGTAACAAAAATGGCACATTTACATTTTTTATTTGTACTGAAATTTACTTCAGTATTCCAATATTTTTCTGTCAAGTTATGGAAAGATAATAACATTAGATCAGTATTTTTTTTAACCTAGGCTCAATCAAACCTCAGGGATTCATTTAGTTAGTCTGAGGTCAAGATACACAAGACTCATGATTCACGATCAGATTTTGACAGTACAACTATTAGGAAGGGTTTGATGAATGCGAATATAAAACTGGTGGTGTTTGGTACTCCCAAAAAGGTTAAATACTACTGCATGTGATAGCTTTTTCAAAAATGAAATAATATAGGCATTTCTTATTAAATTAAAACTGAGAAAAAAATAATCTTGGCTAACCTTTCTGTCTACAGAACTTTTTTCTTTAGCACCAACTTGAGGCTTCTTGGCTTGTAAGTCGTCATAAATAGAATCATATTCATACACTGTAGGGTCTTCCTGCAAAGCCTTGTCAATGTCCATCTGAGTCTGAGATAAGAATTAAATAACAAAAAAATTACATAACACTTAGACTTATTAGACAACAAAAACACAAATGATCAGTACTCTTGGTTTATGTATTAAAATATGTAATGAAATATCACAGGTCATTATTTTAAATCAGTTATATCAGTATACTAAAATTTAATAATTTATATTATAAACTAAAAGTATATAATTTTTTTTCTCTACATGTTTTACTAAAACTGAATGTCTAACAGTGGTAAAGCTAGTTTATAAATATCAGAAAAATGTTCAGTATACATGAATATTCAACTAGATAAATCACCTGTCTCTTGACTGTTTTGGGGGCTGAAGTTTTAACGGTGGATCCATTGTCTTCCTTTAATATAAGTGAATTAATTTATTAATAAAGTAAATTACATAAAATACAACCTGAACATCTTTGATAGTAAGTTGTAACAGTTGTTTATCAAACCTCACCCCTTCCCATTTTTGATGACACATCCTTAAAACAAGTTAAATTTCTATTTACTTAGAAGCATCATAAAATTTCAAATAACAGAATTATATCATCCTTTAATATAAGATACATAAGATAACGAGTTCGAATCCGGGTTCAAGCCCTATTAGTAGATCGTCCCTGAGTCCACCCAACTCTGATGGGTACCTAACTCACATTAGGGAAAGTAAGGGCGGCTGGGCATAGTGCTGACCACACTATCTCTTCATATGCCAAGGTCACAGAATCAAGTGAACTCTACTTCACTTGCCCCATAGACCGTCAGGTTTGAAAGGGAAACTTTTACTTTTACATAAGATAAAAATAGTTGTTTTAATTATGTTTTTCCTTATTAAAAAAAAAACTACAACCCATACATTAAAAGCCTTTTAATATATTTAAGAACATTATAAAAGTAGAATAAATCAGATAACCTCATCACTTTCGCCTCCAAAAACATTAAAGGTAGCAGCTTTGCCAGACTTGGCATTGGACTGTCCGGCCTTTTTGGGAAGAATGAGACCATAGCTGGAAAGATAAAAATACACTGTTGCTTACTTTTGTTATGCAATTTAATGGTGAAATTAGTACACTATCTAAGATTCTAGGCCTACTGCTATTTTAGATGAGTGAAGTTCTATAAAACACTAAATTCTAAACGAATTTGATCAATTTTGTTCAAATTTTGTAAAACTTCTTTGAAGTAGGTGGAAAACTTCTTATCCTGCTACCTACACTGACTACGTTTCACTACAGTTATCACTAAAATATAGGCCTAAACACTAAGGGGTCGTCCATAAATGACGACACACTTGTAGGGGGGGGGGTCTGTATTATTGTGACGGTGTGTGATGAGGGGGAGGGGTTCAGATGGTGCGACGTCACACTTTTGCATTTTAAAAAATCAATGTTAGAAAACGAATTTTAGACGTTATTTCACATTTTAGAAAACTGTTTTAATAAATTTTAATAGGAATTGACTAAAATACTCTATTTTGACAGAGTCCAGGCAAGATTTTGGAAAAATATCAATTTCAATGCTTAAAAAAAAAATTCAACTGCAATTTTGAGGGGGGGGGGGGGTTGTGGGCTGAGGTGTGACGTAATTTTAAGGGGGGGGGGTGGGTCTGGCTTTTTGTGACGATATAATTTATTATTTATGTCAACAAATGAATGATGATATGATTATAAATTTTAATGATGATGGATCTGGGATTCTGGATTTTCAAATTTCAACTGTTCTTCTTGATTATTCTTGAAGTTTGATTTGGCCTTATGCCTTAGCAGGCTTAGCACCGGCCCTTTGCTTAGGCTTAGACTTGGTCACGAAAGAACCATCGCATACATTTTTTTTAATGTAACGTTGCATTACTTGTTGTTCTTTATTTCAAACTATTAGATCTAGAATCTAGATCTATATCTTTATCGTAAACATAAATAGTAAGAAAAAACAAAACAGAATCCTTACACTTTACCAGATTTCTGATCGTCTGCCATGATTTGTTTATGTCGATCTATGTCTAGTGGTTACTAAATAACGAAATGTTGAAAAACATTAAAAAAATTAAACGAACAGATATATATATATATATATATATATATATATATATATATATATATATATATATATATATATATATATATATATATATATATATATATATATATATATATATATATATATATATATACATTCTGTTCGTTTAATTTTTTAAATGATGTTTTTCAACATTATATATATATAACTATAGTAGATCTAAAAGATTATGGGTAAATATTTTGGGAAACAGTAAATATAAAAACTTTTTTTTCTGTTAGAGGTCTTCCGCATATATATGAAGAGATTTCCATAAACTTCTGGGGCGGGGGGGGGGGTTCTTTGGCGTAACAACCATGTAACCAAGGTGGACAAAGTCCACGGGCCCCCGAGCTTTTAAGGTAAATAAATCTGGATACTCGATTTTTTATATTTTTTTCTTCATTATTTTTAAGAAGAAAAGTACTCGTAATCGCAAAATTGCTACTAAAATGGGAACCATAGTAATGCAAGAAAAGAACTACTTTTTTTTTGCAATCAGAAACAATCCTTCAAACAATTGACACTGTCTAAAACTATTTTTGAATTTAATTGTATATGTGTACAGTACAGTGATCTAATATATAAGATCTAGTTCTATGTTGCAAAACCTAAATCTTTAAGAACGCAATAAGGTTTACAGAAGGTTGCCTATGGAAAGTTAAATTAAAAAAAAATAATCCAGAAGCAACGCCTCATAGCTCACACTTAGATTCTTCGTTAATATAAAGTTTTTGAAATGCTTCTAAATTAAGCTGTTTTCTTTTTAAAGGTAGCCCAGATGATGAGATCAGTGTTTCTTCCAGACTTTTTTCTCCGGGGGGGGGGGCGGTAAACTTTCTTCGGGGGGGGGGGGGCGGACACTGTTAAAAGTATATATTTTCTATATAAATTATATAAATTTCATTTCGTTCGGGGGGGGGGGGGCGGTAAAAAATTTTCGGGGGGGGGGGGGGCAAAGCCCCCCCCCCCCCGAAGAGATGCCTGGAAGAAACTCTGGATGAGACTGAGATCGTGGGCTGGACTGACGTGTATCAGTGAAAATAAACGTCAGCTTGTTGTTTTTTATGACGGTATGAATAGGGAGCAATTAAAATTGTCTTTCGATATTTGTATCGGATGGTGATTATGTACTATATGTAGGCCCTATAGAATCTACATTTCCGAGCTGGTTAGCATGGGTTATGATGTATTCAAAAAATGTATTGCAGTTTCAATTAAATAAATGCCATTTGATATCTTGTAATAATTTTTTTTTAAATCGTATATTTTGGTAACTAGCGACACCGTTTTGTTAGGTCTACCTGTTCCATAAATCTGCACGAACAATACAAGCAATCAAACACCGATATGTTTAGTTGTTGAAACAACTTCCTGTTTCTTTGACGACATCTGACAGAGTAATCCTTTTCACAGTCAACAAACACTTCAAATAGTCAAATAGGGTTCAATTTTCACTGTTTACTTCAATTAAAGCTGGATCTAGACTTGTCCTACTTACATTTCTTTAATCGTTTTTTTTAATGTTATTGTTAAGAAAAATCTAGAACAACACTGATTGCGATTATTAGTTCGGATTAGCCTGATCGATCAGAGGTGTGAATGTGATGTTTTGTTAAAGATTCATCTGGGCGCTTAGTAAAGTAATATAATTTTTGTAGTAACTTTTCTTAAATCTAGATTAGATCTATTACAGATTACTAGAATCTAGTCTAGATCTAGTTCATTAGCCTAGATAAGGCCTAGTCTAAGACAAGTAACTAATTTAAACTTAAAAGTTGTAAAAAGTGCAGGTGATATTTCAAGTGGACCCTCTGTCTCTGTCTGTGTAAGTTTAATTAACCCCCCCCCCCCCCCCACCCTCAGCAGAACAGAACTTTAGATTATTAGAAAGATTTATTTTTAGATTCTTATCCATCATTATAATTATTGATTAAAAAGTCACTAGACCTAGGCCCTAACAGATTTAATTTAATATCTAATTTACAACTTGTCACAGATGGGGGATTATGCTGGACATTTTATCAATGAAGTATCCACATTTTACTGATGGGAGCAGGAGCAGTAAGAGGTCAAGGCCAGGACTCCAGGTCTAATCTATTTGTAAGTCCATCACACAATCTATAGGCCTATATATATATAGGGCCTAAACACTTTTTTATTGTTTATTCTATAATTTTATTTTTACTTTGTTTCATTTTATTTAATTAGTTGTTAATTAATCTACCTGAGTTTTAAAATTTTTACTCATTGTTTATTAAACTTACTCCAATATTTAGTAAAAATCAACTTATCTGAAACTGATTTTTAATCAATAAATATTAAATAAACAAATTGTTGTGAAATTTAGAGTTAAAAATTTATTCTAGCTTGAATTTAGTTTATGTCTTTACCTTATTTGATATGTTAATGTCAAGCAGTGGTTGTTAGAATGGATGGTAACTATTAAAAGTATTCTGCATGCTATATTTTTATATAATATTTGAGCTATTGAAATTGCCAGAACTTGGGCAGCACAGGCTCTACTTCAAGGTCTTCTAGCCAAGCCAACGGTGACAGCATTTTTTCCTCATCAACATCCAGTTCTTCTGACAATCAATTAAGTCAATCAAACTCACAAATGAAGATGTCATGTGAGATGTGTTCTGTGAATTTCACCTTGTTCAAAAGAAAAGTAGGTCTCCTTTGCCGTTTGATGTGTTTTCTGCTTTAGTTAGAAGTAAAGGGCTAATCTATCTGTACCCAGATAAGTACCAATACGTAGCTAAGCTATTGAAAAAATTATAGGACAACAATATGATAGTTAAATAATAGGATAGGGTCTCAGCTTGACTACAGACCAGTTTGAATTTTAGGAATTTTTTTTTCATTAGTAAATAACGTTATTTAGCATATAAAATTTCATAATCATTTTAATATATCTATTCTGTTCCCCAGAAATGTTGTATAGAATGTCGCCGCTACTTCTGCTCAAATTGTTTACCCAAGCCTCCGCCCAACTCTCTTGTTGGCAGGCAGTGTGACAAATGTCGCCTGCTCATATCAGGCTCCTTCTCTAGGGATGATCTCAAGGGGTGGAAAGTGAAATACATGAGGTGTTTCCTCAATACCCAAAACATCTCAACCAAAGACTGCACTGAGAAGCATGACTTGATTGAGCTGATATTGGCACAGTTCTGTAAAAATCCTAATCTCACACAAGAGGAACAGGCTGAACATGAGATTCTTGTCAGACAAATGGCGGTAAGTTATATTTCCTAGACCCATATCTTTTTTTATTAAACCTATTGATTAAGAATTTTCAACCTAAGGATTTAAAATAAAAGTTAAGATTCCTCTTTAGACCTAACGATCCATTGGGTAGATGAAGTAGAGTTAATATTTCTTGACTCGGCATATAAAGGGATATAAAGGGTCAGCATTATGCCCAAGCGCCTTTACTCTCCTCAATGTAATTCAGGTACCTATCAAAGCTAGACTCTAGGATGTCCTACAGTCACAAGTCCGAACCTGAGACCTCCAGGGTAGCAGCTAAATGCTCTACTATTCAACCTCGCTGTCCCATATCCTAAGCATTTATTCATATTTATTACGCTTCGTTGAATAAACTTATCACTTGTTCATTTATGTTGTCATAATAAATCAAACACAGTTAAGTTATTAAATTATGCATATTTTATCAAACATTTTGCCTTGTTAGTGTCACAAACTTAGACTTAGAACACATGGCCAGACAATAACAACAAAACCATGCTGTGCTTGTTATAGGCCCATGTGAGAAATGTCAGCTTTATAAACGAGGGCACCCAGCAACCTGGAAACAGCGGGGAAATCACCAACATAACCGAGACCACACCTGCCGAGACGCTGGAGTCAGCACCAGCAGCCTCCACTGATGCTGTGGAGGATGCTCCTCATCCAACCAACTCGGAGTCACACTTTGATTTAAGCGATGACAGGCTGAGGGAGCTGTCTGAAACCTCGGAAAGGCTTGCGGAAGCTTTCTTACGTCTCAATAACTTAATGCAGGAAGAGGTAGGATTGGTGATAGTGAAAAGGATATTTTAACTCCACTCTTATGATATTCTACTCCTAAATTTCTATCACAAGCTACCATACCAATTGTAAGTTACCAGATGCTGCATTGAAGTATTGTCAGTATTTTATAAGCCCTCTTGAAACCGACACTACAGCTAAATATAAAATAAAAGCAAATTTAGGAGCATGTTTTGTTGTGTAGTGTCAGTATAAGAATCTCAACCCATAAGTGTACAGTTTTGTTAAGATTTTAAGATTTGGCATTACATGTTTTCCTTTGTGAGACTTACAGTCGCAGAATTCAAACCCATAAGAGTACATTTAGCATTCCACATTTGTTTTTGTTTTTTTTATTGTTTTCATTTCATTTTCAGGAAACAACAACAACAAGTACGTCTATACGACGCACACAAATCGATGACATCAAAGATATTTCAGAGATTGATGATTTAAAGATCCGCCAGCTAAAGGAGCTGCTAGTTAACAACTTTGTGGATTATAAAGGTTGTTGTGAAAAGGCAGAATTGATAGAAAGAGTCAAAAGATTGTGGAGGGACCATCAAACAAACAAGTTTATAGGTTTTTAATTTTCCAATTTTACCAATTTTATTTTATTCTTTTAATGGAACATATAGTTTAAAAAATATTGAATTATTTGAGTTAAAATTTTGCTAAATTCATCCTGTCGCTTTATTTCCATGTTCTTATTCCTATGCATAATGCTGATAATTTTAATTTTTTTTGTTCTCAGCTGAGCAGATTCACAAAGAAGAGGAAACAGGTACTTCATTGTATTCAACTTCATTTCGTTAAAAAAAATATTAAGATCTAAAATGTAGTTAACTTCATTCATAAAGTTTTTATACTCGTCTTGAAAATATATCAAGTTAAATTATATCTTTTTAAACACTTATGGTAGGCTTGCTTACCCTTTTTTTTTTTTTTTTTTTTTTTTTGTAAATTATTTTATTTTGTTTCAATTTAAACGTTTATATTTAATTTCTAAAATGGTATATATTGTACTGTTACAGCATATTTGGGGGAAAAATTAAAATCCACTACAGTCAATGAAAGCGGGGACAGTGCTAGTAAACTATTACCACCAGCATGTACGGACTCAGAAAGCGTCGTAACTTCTGACAACTTAGATGCCGCTATTGCAGACAGCACCTCAGCCCCATTGCCAGCACCACCCAGCAGCAAACCAGCATCAGATGCCCCATCAACATCAGCAACCAAGTCGTCTGACGACAGCCTTTGCAATATATGCATGGACGCGCTAGTGGACTGTATCCTACTGGAGTGTGGTCACATGGTGACCTGCACACAGTGTGGCAAGAGACTGGCCGACTGCCCCATCTGTAGGCAGTACATTGTACGTGTTGTACGAGTGTTCCGGTCATGACCACCATCGTAGACAGCACTTCTCTATTCGACCAGTGCGCTTGCACAATTGATGTCTTCTGTGTAATAGAATGCCAGCTCAAACATTAGGTAACAAATGTGATTAATTATATTTCTTTATGTAATCTACTGTTAATTGGAGTGTAGCTATAGTTAAAAAAGAATATCTTAGAAACACCTAGTGTATTTATCACTACATGCTAGTTAAAATCTCTATTGTAACTCTTGCTTCTCTGGAGTTAATTATGTTGTATTATAAATTGTGATCTCTATTACAAATATTACCTGCCAAAGTGGTTTATAAAAAAAAAAGCAAGACAGAGACTTTTTTTTCCATGTTCTATTTAGTACTGTAGCATTGTGAAGCTAGATGTTATTGGATTACAAATTGTGCAAGTTTTTTCAATGTATGTATATTTTTCTGTATTAGTGTACACTATACACAATTATTGATGAAGCTTGACTTTATAAAGAATCTCAATAAGACTAGGATTGATACAACTCCTTAGATGAGAAAGGCAATACTTTAAGCTTGCAAGGAACATCACTGTCCCATGCTGCAAGTTTATTAGTTTAATTTCATGAACACAATTTTTTAATGTTTAACTTATCTCAAAAACATCAGGAAAATATTTGTGCACCTTTAAGTCATTAAAGAACTTAAAACAATACAGCATAAACAATTTATACTAGTTTTACTTATGGAATAAAACACCTTTTAATTCATTGCTAAAATAATGTTTAATATTTGGAGAACAAATGTTTATGCTAGCCATTGAACCTGAGTTGTATCAACACTACATTATACACTGTATGTTTTCCCAAATCAATTTGTTTAAAAAAAAATTTATTTCACAAGACAGTATTTTTTAATACTATTTAGTAGAATTATGTGTGCAATTTAATTTTGTGATATTCAATTTTTCTAGAGGTTACATTCTAAATCATTTTGATAAAAAAGTTTTAAAAAAGTGTTTATAAATTGGCTTGCATTTTACTTACAACTTAAAAAATTAAACTATACTACTTCAAACATTAAATTAATTGAAACTTCAAATTAGTTTGTTGCATCAAATTTTTTTTTTACAGTAAAGACAATTTTTGTCTGTTGTATTCACTACCAAATAAAATGAAGTATTAGTTGAAACTATTTGAATTGTATACAAAATAATTAGAAGTCCATTTAGAATTACAATTGAAAAAAAAAGACTCCTGTGAGTGTGATGGCACGCAAGCCATATCTTCAATAATCAATGAGAGGAAAAATTTTCTCCTTCCGTTATGCTTGTATATAACATTACTGTAACTTCAACTTAGTCCATTGTTACTTTTATATTCTTTGTTGTGATATTTTAAAAAAAATACTTTTGTGTTAAATCTTGATAATTTATAATGCCAACTTGACTTAGGTACTGACTCATTGATGCTAACTAATGTAGAGGTTAGTCATTAAAGTTTTTATGCCCTTACTACGACAAAGCAACATAATTTTTCTGATAAAAATATAACTTTTAGTTAACTTTCTAATTAGTTATAAAATTAGAGCATATGATATTTTAATTAGTAGAAAACCAAAGTATTTTTATTTAAGAATGTATAGATTTTTTTGTAAAAAATTTTATATTGACTAGCAAAGTATAGGGAAAAGTTGGTTAACGGTGCTTGTTATCAAGTAATAAGTAGTAATAATTCAACAAGCCAGAAAGCATATGCAATCTTATTTAGAACTAATTCTACTGGTTATTAAAAAAAACATGATTATTAAAAAAAATGGTTGTGTATGCAGTGATGACTTTATGTATAAGTGTTGTGTTTTGTTTGAAAGGTTTGTATTATGAGTGATTTTGAGGAGAGTTGAACGCAACATTTTTTAGTATTAGCACATTGTTACTGAAGGAAATATTCTTATGCAAAAAATATGTGTCACTATTGACAAAACTTTTCATCTATGAATGATATGTGACACTAATGACAAAATATGTGTCTCTAATGGCAAAACATGTCACTAATGTCGTGATGTGCGTCAGTAATAATAAAACATGTGTCACTAATGACATGATGTGTGTCACAAATGACAAGATGTGTGTCACTAATGAAAAAAAATGTGTCATTAATGACAAAACATTGTCACAATAAAGTTTCGAGGTGAGACTGGTCAGTGACTGCCTTGTGGCATCGGTGTGACCACCAGATGATGTCATGTTGACCATTAGATGATGTCATGGTGAATGACAGTGTTATGTCGCAGTGACCATCCCGTGATGTCACATTGACCACCAACCCCCCTCCCCCGTGATGTCATATTGACCATCCCATGATGTCACAGTGACCATCCCGTGATGTCACAGTGACCACAGTGACCATCCCGTGATGCCACATTGACCATCCCGTGATGCCACATTGACCATCCCGTGATGTCACATTGACCATCCCGTGATGCCACATTGACCATCCCGTGATGTCACATTGACCATCCCGTGATGCCACATTGACCATCCCGTGATGTCACATTGACCATCCCGTGATGCCACATTGACCATCCCGTGATGTCACATTGACCATCCCGTGATGTCACAGTGACCATCCCGTGATGTCACATTGACCATCCCGTGATGTCACATTGACCATCCCGTGATGTCACAGTGACCATCCCGTGATGTCACATTGACCACAGTGACCATCCCGTGATGTCACATTGACCATCCCGTGATGTCACATTGACCACATTGACCATCTGGAGATGTCACATTGACCATCCTTTGATGTCACCATTAGTCAGTGCAACCCACCATGACAAGGGTACCTAACCCTGACACTATTGTTTTCTTGTTTCTCTACCTATCTGCTTGTCTAGTTGTGCCTGTAACAGATGTCAGCTTTACTTCTAGTGAAACAACCCAGCCCATGTTGTACCACAAATTAACCCACACCTTTATATCAGAACCCAAACTAAACATTTCTTATGTACGGAAATACTGCCATACCAGAAATTGAAAACTTAAAAAAAAAATATTTGGTGTTAATTATCTACCACACAAGTGCTGTAATTTTAACTTCATTTATTGCTACTGGCTGTAGATAATGTTATAGCACTCTTAGAGATAACCTCCATTACATATCAGTATAAATAAAGAGTATAAATAATGAATATTAAAGATGTTCCATCATACTTTACATAACCACCAGGCAAGGTTTATCTTTTGCTAAATAAAAGGAAACTGTTGGTTGATGGTAGTCATACGGGCCCATATGTTGATGTATATGTAACTTATCCTTTACCAATTCTATAGGTACTGATAATTTTTAAATTAATCAAACCCACTGTTTTTTGTTTTTTTTTGAAGATTATAAACATGTTTATTCAGAAAATCTTACTAAATTATTTTTTTACATGTTGAATGTTAGCATTATGTTTTGTATGCTAAAGCTCAAAAACAAATATATGCTTTTTTGTTCCTATTGGCGAAAATAAGAGATGAAAACTTAGTGTTTAATTTTAGTAATGAATTGTAAGGTTTAGTGTAAATAATCCACTGTTCTGCTGTTCAGTTTGAACAGTTAAGATTAAATATCTTAACATCTTAGTCATGACAAACCACAGCTTAGTCCTTTGTGATTAGTGAGTATGTTTTAAAATTTTAAAATATACTTGCATTTTGTATATCAAAATTTCACTCATTTGTGTAAAGCTTTTTATGTTTTAATAACTTTGATGTACTTGTTTATTTGTTTAAATGTCCATTTTGTTTTTTCTTAGTTCTTTGGATTGTTGTAGCCTCAACAATTGGTTGTTTTTAATCACTTCTAAAAAGAATTTGTGAATGAAGAGATTTTTTTTTACTGGTCAGCTATACACAGATACATAGTTTTTTATGTGTAGATTGTCACTGCCTGTGAAGCAGTAAAAATAATGACTTGGTCACTTAGTGAAACAAAACATTTTTATTTATTCTGTTTTTCTCCCTACATGCCAGATTGTATAAATCAATTTGAATTGACTCGCATCATTATGACTAAAAAAATTTTAAAGTGTCTCTAATTCATTAGCAATACTATGCAATACATCTCAATGATAACAGACTGGTCCTAATTCTACCCTGATCTCATAATGTCAGCCCAGTTATCAAAGTAGTTTTACTAAAACAATCCTTGTTTAAACTCCAGTAGAATTAGATTAACACTGAAAAACTTGAATGTTGATTCAAACTTTCTAAACATTCCCCATTGATTTTTTTTTATGTCACATAAAATTAAAACCTAAAACAGACACTGTAATTTACTTTGAACTGTTGTGTAACCATTAGCCACCATCAGTTTAAAATGTATGATAATACACAACATATTTACATTGAATTTGTCATATTTCAATACATTCAATTAAAAATATGAAAACAGACACCTTGTTTTACATCGGATTGTTATGTTAAACACTAGCCATATTCATTCAAAAAGTATGATATCAGACTTAAGAAATATATTTTACTTACAGTATTTCTAATATTTTCTCAACGTATCTGATATCAGACTTAAGAAATATATTTTACTTGCAGTATTTCTCATGTTATCTCAACATATTCCTTGTCTAGCTCCACAGACAGGCACAATTAATTCTGCAATTTGTTTCGTTAATTGTATCCACTAAAATTTGTTAACTGTCTATGAAATCTATATCAATTTACTACTGATGTTGTGAATTTTTTTTCTTTATTTCAGAGTATTTCTTTTTTATAACCTACATTTTTTATTCACAGATTACCTTACTTTTTTTTTTCTTTTCTTTCTAATTGATGATGTTAAAAAAATAGCAACCTGTTATATAAGTTTAATTTTACTGAATCATTTACATCCCTAAAAACTGGGTGATTAATTCCTTCGTTTATTTCATGAATTACCATTGAAGGGTTTTTGATTGTGAAGCGACTGCAATATTTTTTGTTTATCATTAGATGTTTGTTTCTCTATTAAAATGCTCAATTTCTTCAAGCTGCTTGCCCTTTGTTGACATGATGTTTGTTCAAATATTGGGTCACAATGTGATGTTTATGTGTGAGGTTGACTCAAGGGTTAAAGTTCAAGGAGAGAAAGTGTATGAAAGTGGTTGCTACAGGAAAGTTGTGCTGAGAGATTTGTACAACAGGTACAGCACGCACTGTTATTAAGTGGTGCAAAATATTTAAAGACTTGATTCCATGAAATATATCAAGAACTCAGTGAAGTGTTTAAAGAGCTTGGTCCATGATTTGAAATATTTAAAGAACTCAATTGAAATGAAATATTTAAGAACACAATGAAGTGTTTAAAGAACATAGTCAATGAAAATTGAAATGAAATGTTTAAGAACTCTTTGAATTGTTTAAAGAATTTGTCCATGAAATGAAATATTTAAAGTACCCACTCCATAAGCTAATTATTTAAAGAACTGGGTCCATAAAATATTTTATGAATATTTTTCGTAAAACTATTTAAAGAACTATTTCTATGATCCACAGCCTATTCCATCCTTTACAAAGCTCGGAATGAAACCAAAAATGCATGATTGACTGTTAGTTTATTTTACATTTGTAAATCTTAAGCATTTTAATTATTACAAAATTTTCATTTTTAGCAGAAAAAAACGCTGCCTCTGTATAATTACAACATTAATCACTAAATAACTAAATAATAAAAAACTGGTTTTGAAAAAATTTACAATGCATGTAAATTTTAAAAAAAAAATGATAATGAAGTTTTATAAATTGTGAAGACACAGATTTAGCATACATATCTACAGGTACATCTTAAATTACATTAAAACGTGATACAGAAGCACATTTTTATACAGTAAAATAAGAAATGCACTTGACAGTTCTAGGGTTAAGGAACTTATCAAATAAGCTTTTTTATAATTTTTTTAACGCACTTTAGTATTATTCTTTATTTGAAATATAAAACGTGTCATAGTAATATGCACAAATTGGCTTTTGAGCAACCATTTCAAGTAAGTAGCAAAATTAGTAGGAAAAGTTTGTTTTGTTTTGCAGCAATACTTACAATTACAATACTTACAGTTTTAAACTAATTGAATAAGATTTGAATAAAATAAGTATACTACAACAATATGCCCCACACCATTCTTTGTTACAAAATTTAGTACCCCCCCCCTTCCGCACCACCTTCATTTGCTTCAGCGGCCAAAAGGGAGATGACCGACACGGTTTAGTTATATTGAATGTATTGTGGGGTGAGTTACGTTTCTTAGAAACTCTTTTGGCACTTGGTCAAACTGGAAGAAGGCGTTGCCCCAAGTGGCTGTAGCAAAAACAAGAATCGGCACACACAAAACATTCAGGATAAAACCACTGGTCACCTGTGGAGACGTTCAGATTTGATTTCTGTCCCATTTTAAAAATAAAACATGTTTATAAAAACTTAGGCTATAGATTGCTACGCTGCTAACCCGAAACACTCGAGTTCGAATCCGGGTTCAAGTCAGTAGACCGTCCCTGAGTCCACCCAACTCTGATGCGTACATAACTCATGTTAGGGAGTGTGACGATGGCTGAGTATAGTGCTGACCACACCTTCCCTTCATATGCCGAGATCAAGAAACATAGCTCTACTCCATCTGCCCAATGGATCGTTAGGTCTCAAGATGAACCTTTACTTTTTTACTTTTATAAAAACGCTTTCAAGTGCAATGACGTTTTTATTTTATTTTAAAAGCAATGTTTTTTTTCTCTCCGTAGAAAAAGCATTTGTATTAGTAGGTCATAAAATCTCCTAGACATATATTATGTATTTATCATAGTAATCTTTTAAAATTCAACTTTTAATGCCTTATTTTATTTCTAATTAGATTTAAATCAATAAAAATTATACATTCTTGCGTTGTCATCGGAAGGAATTAATGTTGAAAATTAAAATTAAAATCGCTGCAATAAAAGTTTATCAAGGGAGGCTATTCAGTTATCCTATCTTACCATGTCTATAACACGGACCGTACCACTGGCAAAGACGATGGCGTTGGGTGGGGTTGCCACGGGCAACATGAAGGCGAATGACGTAGCAATGGCGGCAGGATACATGAAAAACAGAGGGTTGACTCCTAGGCTGATGGACTGAAAAAAAAATGAAAGTATTTTTGAATGATTACAAACTTTACACCTAAACCTTGCAAAAACCTCACGGTGCGGTGTTCACAGGGGAACTGAAGCGGAAGGCTGAAAAACGAGTTAGAAAACATTAATGAAAGTAGGTATGAACAGTTAACAATGTTTAAAGGTGTCCGGTGTTTCTTTCATGTATCTCGGGTGTTGACTACTGCCTCCCGAAGCACGTCCAATCCTCCCCACTCCATACATTAGAAATTGTAGAAAATAACATGTAATTTATATTGAAAATAATTTTTAAAAAGTGCTGCCCCCCCCCCCCCCAAAAAAAAATACAAAAAAACAAACACATTTTCAAGTGAAACCCACCCCTCTCCTCCAGGATTTTAATTTTTGAAAAAAAAAAAAGAATTTTTACCGTAGTTAAATAAAAGGTACACAGTTTAGTTTTTTTTATTTTTTTATTTTTTTATTTTAAAATTTAAGCTCTTTTAAAAGAAATGCAACTTTTTCCCCTATCCCCAAAATGTTAAACTATTCAAACATGTCATAAAATTTAATAAATTTCTTACATTCGAAGTATAAAACAATTAAAATATGGGTTTACATTAAAAAGAAGTTTTTTATTAAAATTAAAAATTAAACGGAATTCGAAAATCTGTGTTGTTTCCCCTTAAGTTGAAGGAAAAATGAAGATGTTCTACCACTCATGTCCCTGTACTCACCATTTGCGCTAGGATAGGCATCATAAGGGTAGCCATCGCCGTGTTGCTGGTGACCTCAGTAGCGAAACACACGATGTAGGAGATGATGAGCAGGACAACCCACTGGTTGAGTGACTGGAACACAAGCAGCTGCTCACCTAGCCAGGTGGACAACCCGGACACCTGGGGAGCAGGTGTTCAGTAAGTTGGTTTACATAGGTGGGATTTTGTAGTGTTACATAGGTGGGATTTCGTAGTGTTACATAGGTGGGATTTTGTAGTGTTACATAGGTGGGATTTCGTAGTGTTACATAGGTGGGATTTTGTAGTGTTACATAGGTGGGATTTCGTAGTGTTACATAGGTGGGATTTTGTTGTGTTACATAGGTGGGATTTTGTTGGTTTACATAGGTGGGATTTTGTTGTGTTACACAGGTGGGATTTTGTTGTGTTACATAGGTGGGATTTTGTTGTGTTACACAGGTGGGATTTTTTAGTGTTACATTGGTGGTATTTCGTAGTGTTACATAGGTGGGATTTTGTTGTGTTACATAGGTGGGATTTTGTTGTGTTACACAGGTGGGATTTCGTAGTGTTACATTGGTGGGATTTCGTAGTCTTACATAGGTGGGATTTTGTATTGTTACATTGGTGGGATTTTGTTGTGTTACATTGGTGGGATTTGGTAGTGTTACATAGGTGGGATTTCGTAGTGTTACAATTACATAGGTGGGATTTTGTAGTGTTACATAGGTGGGATTTCGTAGTGTTACAATTACATAGGTGGGATTTTGTAGTGTTACATAGGTGGGATTTCGTAGTGTTACAATTACATAGGTGGGATTTTGTTGTGTTACATAGGTGGGATTTCGTAGTGTTACATAGGTGGGATTTGGTAGTCTCAGACATGGGATTTGGTAGTCTTACACACATCTGGTAGCCTTACACCAGAGATCTTTGGCAGCATTAAAGTGGTGGTATTTGGTAGTCTTAAACTGGTGGTATTTGGTAGTCTTAAGCCGGTGGTATTTGGTAGTATTAAGCCGGTGGTATTTGGAAGTGTTACACAGTTGGCATTTGGTAGTAATTAAACCGGTGGTATTTGGTAGTCTTACACCACTGGTATTTCGTAGTCTTAAAGGGAGCGGCGTGAACAGGTGGATTAGTGATTGCTAATCCTTAAGTCCCGAGTTTGGACCCAGACTAATGTTTGTTAGTTGGGGGGGGGGGGGGGGAAGCAAATCCTAAAAGAAAATCGGTCTGAAGTCGGAGCCTACCCTACCCTCACTACAACAACTTACGGTGAACTTAAACAAGGTTTCATGTCCCACCCCTCACTAATTTACCGTGGCAGCACCTCCCCCTTCTACCCCCTACCCCCCTATAAAACAAAAACCTTACCGTGGCAGCACCACCCCCTTCTACCCCCTACCCCCAAGGTCTAAACAAAACCTTACCGTGGCAGCACCACCCCTCCTACCCCTACCCCCCAGGTCTAAACAAAACCTTACCGTGGCAGCACCACCCCTTCTACCCCTACCCCCCAGGTCTAAACAAAACCTTACCGTGGCAGCACCACCCCTTCTACCCCTACCCCCCAGGTCTAAACAAAACCTTACCGTGGCAGCACCACCCCTTCTACCCCTACCCCCCAGGTCTAAACAAAACCTTACCGTGGCAGCACCACCCCTCCTACCCCCTACCCCCCAGGTCTAAACAAAAACCTTACCGTGGCAGCACCACTCTCCTACCCCCTACCCCCCAGGTCTAAAAAAAACCCCTTACCGTGGCAGCCTGGGCAATAGAGTATCCACCCCCCAGCAGGAGGTACAGAGACCAGGGCATTTTTTCATGGACGTGGCTCCACTTCAGCAGGGGCGTCACCTTTCTGTAAGTCGCTAGAGGTAAACAGACGGTTCAAACAAGTTAACGAAACAAAGCTAAGACGAGCATGAACTCAGTCTGTAAATATTTGTTGATGCAAGAATCTCTACTAGTCCTTATCTGATTAAAACGAGCCGACCCGCGGCGTATCATACGCCGCTATTTAGTTGTTTTATTTTCTAATTTCTAAATTCATAATTTGTGAATTCGACAGTAACAATGCTGCCACTGAAAATATATGCTTTAAAACACTATCAGTAGCTCGTTAAGGACGATACCCCCTCCTTTCCCCAACCCCAACCCCTACCCCCCCCCCCCCCCCGTGAAAGCAAACTCCTCTTAGTTACCTCCCCTAAGTTTAAAATCGTTTCAAACTAAATTATCTGCCCCTAATAGCCGTCACTAAACCCGGCTCTACAATTGCAAACATTTATCGTGAACCACAGCTCACCAGACCATGTAGGGGTGGGGGTGGTAGGGAGCGCGCTAACAGCTTGGTGTTTTCTAGGGTCTCCAAGAAGAGAATTATATATATAGATAAAGAATGCACTTGCAAACCCTGCAAAATTGATTTTTCTACTTTCAGAAACTTTTTCTTCTCAACGAACTTCTTTTAGCGAATCTAAGGATTCTTTATGTTTTTACTGTTAAGATAATACAGCTTACTTAAGTAGTCTGATTTTTCAAAAATTGAAATTGAAATGTACTGTTGATCTTAATTTATCTCAACAAGAACGACAAAATGCATGCAGTGTGTAATTTAATAAATACTACAAGCGGTGACGCAAATATGGTGTCATAGTTACCTGGGTTATGTTTTCTTGAGATGACAACAGGGGGCGTTGACGGCAACACAAACATCAGGATACCGAACAACAAGGATGGCGTTGAGTCGCTCAAACTAAGAAATACAATTTCCAATTAAATAAAACAATAACCAGAGTCTTCAACTCTGTACAATAGATTTGACATTTTATGGGTCCCAACCTCTCAACCTCACACCTCTGCTCCCCACCCCAGAAAGTTATATTCATTGCCATCCCAGCTTCATAAGCTTAGATCTACTTGATTTACCCAAAAGAAATTCAGTCCCCCATCTCCACCCCACCGACCCTGACTTACCCAGGAGAAAACTAGTCCACCACCATGTGCCCATCCGTTCCCCACCCAGTCTTCTCAGACTTACCCAGGAGGAAACCAATCCGCCCATCCACCAGCACCACCGAGATCCCGAGTGATCCAAGCAACAACAAGCAGCATGAACGTTACCAACACTGTGCCTTGGGCATATCTGAAATAAAGAAACTTAACAACTTTGGAATGATTTAACATATAAACAAAAACACATCGAGTAAATAACCATGTTACAAATATTGTATTATTCAAATATTTAAAATACAAATCGGTACATATTTCAAATGTTCTTCCCAAAAATGACAAATATATTTCAGTAGTGTTTTGTTTTTATCGATTTTTTTTCTTACCTTTGACATTTGTCCAAATGGATTATTAAACCAGTCATGTTTTTTAAGGGAATAATTTACATAAGAATAGGCTAAAGATCTCACGTGATAGGACCCAAGTTGTTGTACTCATCTCTGATCATGGCGTTGACCTTCTCCAGTTTTTTCTTGTTGGCTTCTGGAGCACAGCAACAACACAGACACCCTCCTCTGTACAGACACATCACATACGGTGTTACGTCCGTGTTTAGTTCAACTCAGACAACGATTCGTGACTATCCTCAGTACTTTTATTTGGTCTCAACTCTCCACATTACACAGTAGCCCTGGCCCTAACCGCTACCAATTAGCCCCCTTTCAACCAACCATTCACTCCAGCTTTTATATTTTATACCTTATTCGACCTTGGGATAACAATACATAAACACAACGGGGTTAACTATACTCTAAGGTAAACTCAACTCACACACGCAATCTCCCTTAGTTCTAGATTATTCTAGCCTATTTCTATCTAACCTACAACTGACCCGTAACATAAGGGACAGTTTAGTTTGGTTAGATCTTTTAAATGTTTGGACCCACAACCGCACCAACCCATAGACCAGGGGAAAGTTGAGTTTGGTTAGATCATTCAATAGATAGTACCACAATACAACAGACTTACTTGCAGCGTAAAAAGACGACCACCATCCAGCACCACATCACCAGCACCACAAGCAAAGAGAGGGGAAACCCGTAGATGAGCCAGGTGCTAAACGTCACAGGTGATTTCAGGCCAACCTCTTCAAACACTCTAGGTGAGGGGAAGAAAGTGGATTGTAGAGAAATCTATACGGACCTGCATACATGAATAATCACAACTAAAAGTTCAAACTAAATATGCAAGGCTTATAAAATTAGGGGTATATATATATATATATATATATATATATATATATATATATATATATATATATATATATATATATATATATATATATATATATATTTATATATATATATATATATATATATATATTCATAATAAAACTGATGAAAAATAATAGATGCAGATTTTTCTACTTTATTTTAAATACTCGTTTTTCTCAAAACTTTAACTTTAAAATTTCACTTAAGTATTTTATCCACTGTGCCTTTCATATACAAAAGCATCATTTAAGAACTAATAGGTGGGAGCTGCCAATGGTTTCACCTCTTTCGCCAATTTACAGTTTACACTCAATACATTCTTACTAAATTTTTTTAACCCAAAACGTTTAACCCAAAACAGTTTGACCACGAGTGTTTGACCCACCCCCACTTACTTCTGGGCCGCAGCAAACAGGACAAGGTTAGGTCCAGTCCCTGTCAGACTGCCGATGCCTCCAATGTTGGCCGAGTAGGCCACGGTCAGAGACAGCGCCTTGCTCAGTCTCAGAAACTCGGCGTCCGCTCGTTCTTGGTCGTGTCTTTGCTTGAGTGCCTCAGGTGAAGTAGAGTCACGCCTGTTGTTAAAACATATCAGATTGTGGATTTTGTTTTCTACTTTTAACTGAGAATTGAGTATACCTAAAATCAAGGTATAAGTCCTTTATATTAATCAATTTAGAATATTAATGATGTCTGGGTTAAGCTAGTGTCTTGTAGAATTATGAGTAGATCAGGATTGACATTAGTAACACACATAGACAATATAGAACACTTTGTTTTTTTTACGTCTCATGAAAGTGTAAAACGTCAAATTTTGTCATAATTTTGAGTTTTTGCACGATTAAAATACTTCCTCTTATACTTAGTATAGGAGAAATAAAAAAAATATCCCTTATGATTGTATTCTTAAAAATTAGGAGGAAATACACTCACACCACAACTGTTTAGGTCGGACCTCACAAAGTATGCATTCTCACCTGCTTACGACGCTGTTGGCGTTTATCTTCTGCTCATTGTTGTTCATGTCCTTGAACTGCTGCAGCAAGGCCTGGACGATGGTCATCATCATGGCCGTCGTGGCCGTGTTGGAGATCCACATGGACAGGAACCACGTGACCATACAGATGCCGAAGAGAAGACTTTGATCAGAAAACAAAATATCTCGATGTAGCTCAGTTCAATTTCTCAGGAAGATACTTAATACTTTTTTTTTCTTTTGTAATTTCTCTGTTTAATATAGTTAACTATTACGTTATATAAAGTACTGGATAATACGGTGCAACTAATAGTGGGCATTGTATTGCTAGACTGAACATTTGCTATCAATACTGTGACCTACTTAGGTCTTGTATTTTTAGTTTGACTTTTATTACTCAACCATTATTGACCTGTGGTGCAATCACCGGTATTTTTCCATAGTTTCAAGAAAGACATATACCCAGTACTTTTCCATCACGAGAGGTGGTGTAATACTTTTATAATTTCGATTGGTTGATTCGGACATCGGAGATGTCCCAACCAATAGTTTCATGTTTTGAAGGTGACCTCCCATGTTGCCTCAGGTGTCAAATAGTCTGCGCACACGTTTCTGCAAGAGCCGACCGCAGCAGTCCATAGCAGCAGTCAGACCAGACATCTTTGAGAGAGAAAGCCATGTGTGTCGCTATTTAGTAGCCTATTGTACTTTGTAGTTTTTAAGCAGCTTGTTCCCTTATTACTTGTGGTATTAAGTAATATTTTGTGCTTTAAGTAGTGTCGTATAAGCTGTGGTGATTTTCCTGAGTGCCATATCCTGTGATAGTGTAACATAGTGTTTTTTCTTCAACTTGTAAGTTGGGTTTTTGTTATTTTACTCATTCATTTTATTCTGTATGAAGCTAGAGTCTTATCTTGAATTTGTACACATATTAAAGGTTATATATGGATTAAATGTGTTGTTGGTATCAGGAGTTCCTCGAGTGTATCCCCTAGACGTAAAGTACGAGTCTCGTGAACTGTTGTGCTAGCTACCTTTTATATGGCTTTAAGCCATCTGTGTATAACCATCTAAACGAACCCGGGTACGTTCGCCAGCTCTGCGGCCGATAGAGTGGTGTTTCGTAATAATACTGTACTTTATAGTGCTACCTAGACTGGATATTATGGTGCTAGACGGGACATTATGGCATGGTGCTACCAAGAATGGGACCTGTTGTGCTACCAATAGTGGACATTATGGTACCTCCTAGACTGGTCATTATGATGCTAGACTGGACATTACGGTGCTACCAACATTGACATTATGGGGTAAACCAAGAATATACATTATCGTGCTACCAAGACAGTACATTATGGTACAACCAACGTTGAACTTACCATTTTGGTTCAGCACCAACCACCTTCAACACCAACAGAGCGATTCTTTTGTGAACATTCCACGTTTCTATTGCTATGGCAACCAGAAGGCCACCCATAAACAACATGGAAGTATCCTGTCAAAACATTTTTACCCTTAAACGAGTGTTTATTAGCTACACTTAACTGACATAATAGAAAAAATAAACAACTGGATAAATAATACCACCTTTGCATATACTGAGTGTGCAGTTGGCACAGGCTAAGAACGATTAATAAGTTTAAGAATACAAATTACTGAGCCTAACTCTTCAATCTACTTTGGGACATTGCATTGCAATTTACAATTTGGTTACATAATACATATATTGAGCTATAAACAGAAGAATGTTTATACAAGAAAGCAAAAAAAAAAAATTAAAAAAAAAAAAAAAAAAAAAAAAAAAAAAAAAACTATAACAAAACAAGACAAGGTTCCAGTGACGTACATTAAAATAAGCAGCAGACGTCTCCCTGGCAGACATGACACCCAGGGCAGGTAGGAGAACAACAGGCGCCAATGACGTCACGGCGATAGGCAGCGCCTCCGTCGTCCAGTAGATGGCCATGACGGCTATAGCGTAACCGCATCTCGCCTGCCTCTGGTACTGTGAGGGTTAAGGTCAATTTTAAATGTTGGTACTGTGGGGGTTAAGGCAAATTTTAAATGTTGGTAATGTGGGGGTTAAGGTAAATTTTAAATGTTGGTAATGTGGGGGTTAAGGTAAATTTTAAATGTTGGTACTATGGGGGGGGGGGGGGTTAAGGTAAATTTTTAATGGCGTTTTGGATTAAGTCCTTGGTACTTTGGGGGTTAAGGTAAATTTCTAATGGAGTTTTTGGCACTGTGGGAATTTAGGCTTGTTACGAATGGTTTGTTGGATTGTGTACTTTGTATGGGGGGGGGGGGGGGGTTAAAGTTTGTTTTTAATGGTTCGATGGATTGTATATTTAGTAAAGTGATTGTCCTTGGCGATGTGGAGGGGGAGGGGTTAATCAAAGTATAAATATTAACAACCCTGCTTGATTCATATTTGTTGTTTTAAAATTGTATTAATTTTTAAAAAAAAATTTCTCTTTTTAATTCGTGCCAAAAATCCTTGTTTTTTTTTATTTAAAAGAAATAAGACTGATAAAAATACAATACAGGTACCGTAAACCTTTTGTTTATACCGATGTTATTATTTCATGAATCACCTTTTCATCGACCGAAAGAAATATGGGCAGAAAGACGAGGGGCGTGGCTACGATGACCACGAGGTACCACAAAGACAGAAGATGTTTGACCAATGAGATTTGTTCCACGTCAGATGACGTCATGTCCACGTCACTGTCTATGTTGGTAATTGGGCTGATTCTAAAATGATTTAAAAACAAAATTTATTTTTAATTGGACATTGAATATTTAGGCAAGTCGTGCTTTTTACATGTCCATGCCAAAGTTTCTTTCAGACATTTTCTCCGGGGTAGGGGAGGGGGGGGGGACACTTGGTCGAATTATATATATTGTCCGTTCTGGGCGGGGGGGGGGTGTAGACGTGATTATTTTTAAATATTTTTGGGGGGGGGGGGGGGTGGCGTTTACCACCTCCACCTTCACTGGAAGACATGCCTGAAAGAAACTGGTTGTCGTCCAAATACGTCGATTGTTGTTAGATTTTACTATTTATTTTTGTACT